CCCCCACAACATACACCCCCCCCAGGATAGTGGGGCACAGGCTGGTGCAGCCCCAACCTGCCCTTCACCCCTGGGTTTGGGGGCAGCACCAAGGCTGCCCCGGCGCTGGCAGGGGGAGAGAGCACAGGGACACAGGGCGTGCATGGCTCCGGCCACTCAGAACCTGCCCGCTCTGGCAGGGGGGGCACTGGGACTTGGCCCCGACAGTGGCATGGGGCAAGCAAGCAAGCACCCACCCCACACACGCCCTGCCCCAATCCAAGCGGATGCCCCATTCGCCCCCTCCCCTTGTGTGGTCCCATGGGTGCCCCCAGGGGTGGGTTGAGGATCTCACCTGACATCACACCCCGAGGGCCAGGAGAGGCTGAAGGCATCAGCAGGGCAGTGCATGGCAGGGGCGTCGGGGCGGCTCTCGGCAAGCTTGGCCATGTGCCAGGAATGGGGCCGGAGGACGGGCACGCTCCTCCTGCCAAGAGCAACAGCGGGAGAGGACAAGAATGGGGAGGAAGCCGGCCAAGGAACCGGGGCTGAAGTCACTTCCTACGTGGCTTCCTGTCCCCCCCAGGCCAGCACCAGCCCAAGGGAGACGGCAGCAAGGAAGGTCCAGCCCTGCCAGCACCCAGCACCGGGCAGGGGGATCCCACAGTTCCCACCCTGCTGCCGGGGCTCCCCTACCTCCGGTGTCCCCGCCACCAGCATCAACAGGGGACCAAGGATGTGGCCCCAGCGCAGCCCACGGGCAATGCCCCGGCAGGGCAATGGTCCCTGCCAGGACTGGACCGGCTCCACGGGCACACCAAAGGACACCGGGGCCACATCTGTGTCCCCACCGCAAGGCTGACTTTCCCCCCTTGTTCCTCAGTCCCTCAGCATCTGCAGCAAGCACCGGCCACATCGCATCCCCAGGGAGGGGTCCTGTGCCAGGACCCATCCCACCTCCTGTGCCAGGAAGCCATGGGGGTCTCCAGTTCCCCCAGCGCACGCAGGCAGCAATGTCCAGTGTCACTGCACAGATATGTGGGCAGATGCCACCTCCTGTACTCCCCAAGTGCCCAGTGCTGCCCCAGCATCCGCCGGGTGGGCAGGGAGGGTGGCAGGGACGAGCTGTGGGATCGGCACAGGGGTCCCTCCCCCCTCCGAGCCCCGAAACTCACCATGGATGATGCTGAGCCCCGGCACCTGTGGCACCTCCTGCCCCGTGGGCAGTGCCCTGCGCCGCCCCAGCCCCTGGGCGCTGCGGGGGCT